CATACAGATTTAATATATACCATACATGTTTTCTCTCAAAATACACAGTTCTAAATGTATTTTCTATGCAGCTGAAACCATTTTGTGTGTGTTCCAAACAGGGAAGTGCATTTGTACCTACATTTGATCCACACATTAGTCCAAGGGGTTCAGATCAGGTCAGCACCTCCAAAATAGATGGCTCCAACGTACCATGAGCAAGGGGCGGTCTAGTCAACCAAACTGGCATGGAAGCCAAGGTTTCAAGCCAACAGTGGCAATCTGGGAAATCTCACCTGGAAAACTCTTCTCAGTGCAGAAGGCTGAGTACTCTTGGTACTCTCAGGAGAAAGCACCCCACTCCTCTTGCAGTTGCTTCATTCCTTCCTTGAGCTAAGTAACATTGGTGGTCCTCAGTCCTGCAAAACAAGTCACCGCCAGCTGCAGTTCCTTTGCAGCCAAAGACAGGGCTTGGAACTGATGACTGATTCTTCTTACGACCAGATGCATCTCCTCACTGCTTCAGTGAAGTCAACTAGAGCAGAGTTTTCTGTTCTTTGCAATTGCTTAACTGCTATTGTTGATTTGTTTGGGCTACTTACTAGAAATTATCATCCTGAAAAAAGGGACAAGTGGGAGTGCCGCAACATTCTGTCCTGGGCCCATCGTTGTTCAATTTCTTTATAAACACCGTGGATGATGGAAATGAGGGAATGCTCATAAAATGTGCAGATGACACAAAACTGGGAGGGGTAGCTAATGTCGCAAAAGACAAAATCAGGATTCAAGATGGCCTTAAGAGATCGGACCCAAACTCACAACATGAACTCACAACAGGGACAAACGTAAGATTCTACAATTAGGCAGAAAGAACCAGTTGTACAAATATAATATGGGGGACACTTGGCTTGCGAACAGTACATGTGAAAAGGGGTCTTTGTAGACCACAAGCTGAACATTAATCAACAGTAGCAAGAAAAGAGCAAATACTATTCTAGGCTGCATCAACAGAAGTATAGTGTCCTGATCAAGGAAAGTACGGTAATAGCCCTCTCTCCGTTCTGCCTTGGTCAGACCACACCTGGAATACTCTAATCATTCTGGGTGCCACAATTTAAGAAGGATATTGACCAACTTGTGCAGAGGATGGCAACCAAGATGATTAAAGGTGTGAAAACCAAACTTTATGAGGAATGGTTGAGGGAGTTGGGGATGTTTAGCCTGGATAAGAGGAGATTGAGAGGAGATATGATAACCATCTTCCAATATCCAAAGGGCTGTCACTTGAAGATTGCACAAACTTGTTTTCTCCTGCTCTGGAGGGTAGGACTGAACCAATGGATTCAAGTAACAAGAAAGGAGATTCTGACTAAACATCAGGAAAAACTTTGAGAGTAAGACCTGGGAGGTGGTAGACCCTCTTTCATGGGAGTTTTAAGTAGAGGTTTGATGGCAATCTGTCATGGATGATGAAGAAGAAGAGTTTGGATTTGAAATCCCGCTTTATCACTACCCTAAGAGGTCTCAAAGCAGCTAACATTCTCCTTTCCCTTCCTCCCCCACAACAAACACTCTGTGAGATGAGTGGGGCTGAGAGACTTCAGAGAAGTGTGACTAGCCCAAGGTCACCCAGCAGCTGCATGTGGAGGAGCAGAGACGTGAACCCAGTTCCCCAGATTACGAGACTACCGCTCTTCACCACTACACCACACTTGATGCTTTAGTTAAGATTCTTACATTGCTGGGAACTGGACTAGATGACCCTCAGGGTACCTTCTAACTTTATAATTCTATGATTCCATGAAATGTGGTCTTCCTCCTGCTTGCCACTTTCTATCCTGTTAAAAGTAGAGGATTTCCTCTGCAGAGCAGTTTCCTGGTCCTACTCTTTAAGGACCACTCTTCAAGGGTCAGGGCACACACATGGAAACCTCCCCCACACCTCTACCTAAACGGAAAGGTGTAAAACAAGATAACCCTGTCATTATACCAGAAGCAAAGCAGACCATAGGACACAAACCTACGCAGGTGGCTGGAGACCCCATAGATTGGCAAGTGAAGCCAAACATCGTTTGTTCTAAAGCAAACCATGCTCCAGCCAGCATAGCCAATGTTCATGGATTATGAGAGTTGTAGACCCAAAACATCTGGAAGTTATCAGATTGGGGGATGTTGCATTATGGAATATATTTCCAGACCATGGTTTGTAGAATCAAGACGTCCCCCACTCTACACCCCAAATGCACAGGCCAATCACTTAGGTCAGGGGTAGGCAACCTAAGGCCTGGGGGCCGGATGTGGCCCATTCGCCTTCTTAATCTGGTCCGCGAATCAACGTGTTTTTACATAAGTAGAATGTGTCCTTTTATTTAAAATGCATCTCTGGGTTATTTGTGGGGCATAGGAATTTGTTCATTTTTTATTTATGTTTTCAAAATATAGTCCGGCCCACCACATGGTCTGAGGGACAGTGGACCGGCCCACGGCTGAAAAAGGTTGCTGACCCCTGACTTAGATGGTGTCATCAATTGCACCTTTAGCTACCAGATGTCAGTTCAGTTCCTGTCCACCTGGGCTAGATGTGAATAAGAAGAAACTGAAAGATGTTGTTGGCATTTTCTTGAATCACCTGGATTGAGATTGCAGATCTTACGTTGTACTGAGTCTTTATGTATGCTTTCCCATCCTGCTCACCATTTGTTAATTTAATGCCATTATAATATGTGTAAAAATAAAAAAATAAAAAGGAAATAATTCAGGGGAAATTAAGCATACCTAAGACCCATTGAAACCAAGCGCTTAACATTTAAGTTAAGCGCTTAACATTCCCTGGATGGCAGTCATCATTTCACAACTATGCTGCAGTCCTTAAATATCTCATTTTGGAACGAGCTCATTAACTTCAGTGACATTAAGCTGAAGTGGAATTCCTCCCACCCCCCACATTTCTCTGAAGTTTTGTGTTCCTTCTGGAAGCAATGATAAGTCCTTCCTGTTTTGTCTGGTATTTTTTGGCTCATGGAGCAATCGTTTGGCATGCCTGAAACCAGCAGCTGGCAACCTAAGGTAGCTGCCAGAGTCCACTGCCCTATCGGGGGCCAATCAGTACTGATCCTTGTCCCCATACCCTCCATTTAATTTTATTAAATTTATTACTCACTGTCTAAAAACCCAAGTAATAAAAGCAATTTACAATAAAGAAGGATAAAAGAAAGCATAACAGGAAAAAAAACTAAAACATAACTACACACATATATAACAAAATGCTTTACAAAATGCTGAACAACTGGGTATGTGAGCTTCCATTTTAACGCAGTACATTGAGTGTTCTGGTGCATTGCAGGAAGTCAAAATGGAGGCCCACAGCAGTGGTGAGCTGCCACTTCCAGGTTAGCCCAAGGGAATTCATCAGTGTAAGCTGGGGCTCACCAGAGCACACTTTGAGTAGCTAAAATGAGCTACGGGAGGGGACCATCTCCCTGCCTAATGGCAGGGTCGGCTGCAAATCATTTCCCTGTTCTTAGGAGTGGGATAGACCGTTGAGCAAGCATAAGATTCCAAATAACTTCCACTCCTCCATCTCAGCCCAAGTTCCTCCAGGGGTGTCGTGCTGCCCTGGCAGTTAACTACCATTGTGGACATCAGTCATTCCTACATCAGTCTGTCTTTGACTTTGGCTGATGCATGGAAGTTGGATGGAGATAAATTTGCTCCCAAGTCAGGAATAGGACCGTGGTGTTAATCTAAAGTAGGTAGGTTACTGGTACTTGTTTTCTATATGTGGTTGCTCACTGACGTTTTCAACACATGTTTGCACACAAATGTTTCTTCCTTGTCCCCCATCTTACATCATTGCCAGGAGACACCAAAGCACACTTAATACTCCTGCAGATTTGTTTGTTCTCTCTCTTCTCTTTCTGTCTCTCCCTTTCCCTCCTTCCTTGCCCTATAACTCAAGCTTTTCAAGCACCACAAGCAGTCTCTGCATTTAGCATCAGATCTGCCACAACAATGCTTTGGCTCTCTGCCACCGCACAGCTTTGAGCAGCTGTATTCTACCCTTAACCCTCCTGCCTTCTCCTCTTCCTTCCTCATTATATCCTCAACATCTGTATCTGTAGATTGCTTGATTGCTTTATTTAGTTATTTAGTTATACATAAAGCTTGTTGCATCCTGAAAGTGGGGAGGGTGGGCAAGACAGCAAACACACACACACACTGCAAAACAAAGATTTCATCCACATTTTGCAGAATTGCAGAATAGCATCAGCTGAGGCTTGAGGAGGTAATGATTACCAGAATTGCAACAAGTATGGAGGGACAATTTAACCCTTTCTTCCCACCATGAGGAAAATCTCTCCCCTGATTGTGCTTTTTTAGGGCAGTACGAGGGGAAATGTCCGTGTGCGTTGCTCCCAAAATACACAATTTGCACACACTTTTGCCCAATACACACATTTTTGCAAGCCATTTACCCCAGTTTAACACATCCCTCCCCCCATGATTTTCACTAATATATGCATTTGTATGCAAACCTGACCCTCAGTGTAGACATTTGGTACATAGTTTTGGGTTGCCAAATTGCACCGCAAAATTCAAAGAAACCCAGTGTTTTGGTTTATGCATTGTTTTGACAAGTGTGAATTAGGGAGAATTGCATTACAATGAAACAAAATTTCTCCCCCAACTCTAGCAAACAGTTAAATAATCCTAGAACCATAGAGTTGGAAGGGCATCTAGCCCAAGAGGCATCTAGTCCAACCCCCTGCGATGCAGGAATCTCAGCTAAAGCATCCATGACAGATGCCCATCCAGCCTCTGATTAAAAACTTCCTAAGAAGGAGAGTCCACAACCTCCTGAGGGAGACCGCTCCTCACCTTATGCCTCGCACAGTGGCTTACAATCAAACCAACATAAGAAAAAAGAAAAAGTGACACGAGCGGAAGAGGAAAATATGTACATTCAGGTACTGACTCTTAGATAATGGTTATGGCCAGATGGAATGGCCATCTGGCGAAGAGCCATTGCTCAGTGCTAGAGCATCTGCCTTGCAAATGGAAGGTCTCGGGTTCAACCCCTGGTATCTGCAGGTAGGACTGAGAATGTCCCTGGTCTGAAACCCTTGAGTGCTACTGCCAGGCAGTGTAGACCATGGGTAGACAAACTAAGGCCCAGGGGCCGGATCTGGCCCAATCACCTTCTAAATCCGGCCCATGGACGGTCCAGGAATCAGCGTGTTTTTACATGAGTAAAATGTGTATTTTTATTTAAAATGCATCTCTGGGTTATTTGTGGGGCATAGGAATTTGTTCATTCCCCCCCCAAAAAAAATATAGTCCGGACCCCCACAAGGTCTGAGGAACAGTGGACTGGCCCCCCTGCTGAAAAAGTTTGCTGACCCCTGGTGTAGACAACACTGAACTGGGTGGATCAATGGTCTGACACAGATTAAAGCAGCTTCCTAAGTTCCAGTGTCAGTGTGGGTTGTGCTGCCCTGTGCCCAATGAACAAGAGGACTTCGCTGTCGCATCTCACCTTTCGTAAAGGAAAATGATTCAACACTACTGCCATTCAAGGATCTCTGCTCCATAGCTTTCTTGGAATTAAAATCAATCCAGCCATGCAAAATGGAAAGTGCGTGAATGACTGGCTGTCCCAAAGTCAGAATTTGATATTAGATTTCACTTCAGGCTATAAGTTGGGAAGCACACATTTGAACGCACTGCCGTATCACAAAAACAACACCAACACATTCCTGCATGGGGAGGGGGAAGCAGTGTCAGAGTGAAGGAGCGTTTCCTCCTATTTTCCTTTCCCTGCACTGCATGATGCATCTTTTAGTGGTGCTAGGGATATTCAAACATTGAAACCCCTCCCATTTCCGAACTGGTACTGTCCAGTTTTATAACTTTGTTTCTGCTGTAGAAATTGAACTCTCTGCATAGTTGGCCCCCTGTAACCATTGAGAATGCCAGCTCTAAGCAGACACAGGTTGCAACTTGCGACTGTCTCCCCCAAAGCCATCTCCATTAACGTTAGGAGATATTCTGGAATAAATTGGTTGAAGTCTCTCTGGTTCTCACTGGGCGGGGGCAGGGGGAGCCATAAAATCCAATGTGGGAAGTGACTTGTGGTCTTTCCCATATGATCTTAATTTTGGATAGGCACATCTTTTAGAAAGAGAGGGAGAAGGTTAACACTTTGCAGATGAGAGTGCTCTATCTAAATCCGCTATCTGCTAGAGTTTCCTGTGCTCAGAGCCATTTTTCAGACATTTCATATACACAACTTTGTTTTCAATTTAGATGCAGGGCTTCAACTTGGAAGACATTTGTAAGGCCCAAATGATGAATTTCCAAGTTGACAACTGTGATCTCCCATCCCACCCCTCTCCAAAAAGACACAATTAGCATTGTATGCTAGAATCTGTTCTGTGAAACATTTTCCAAGAATGTTTCATTTTTTTCTTTTTCTTCTTCTTCTTTTACAGCCTGTTGCTTCTAGGAGGGCCATAGATGAGTTTAGAAAAAGCTCTGGTTTTGTTAGCGCAATAAGGGTGTCACTGGAAGATGCAGAGTGCAATACTGCCATCTCTTGGACAGTTGCCTTTTCTAGATTTTCTTGAATTTCCAGATTTTTTTAAAAGGCTAGCTAGACATTGGCCGCATTAACACCATTTTTAAAAGAAGTACCATTCAACTTTAAACAGTCATGGCTCCCCCACAAGAATCCTGGGCCCTGCAATTTGTTAAGGGTACTGAGAATTATAAGGAGACCCCCAGTCCCCTCACAAAGCTACACTTACCAGAGTTCCCGGTGAAGAGGGATTGATTGTTTAGACCACTCTGCCAACTATAGCTCTGTAAGGGAGAAAAGGAGTCTCCCAACAACTCTCAGGACCCTTGACAAACTACAGCTCCCATAATTCTTTGCAGGAAGCCATGAAAGTGGTACCACAATGCTTTAAATGTATGATGTGAAAGTCGCTATTGTGGGAAACATATGGCTGCTTAGAGCACCACCATGCAAATCCTCTTCACCACCTAGTAAAATAAATGAATGGCAACATGTCCAGCATTTTCACCCTCTCGGCAAAAGGCAACCAACCAATTGTACCAGGCTTGGGAAAACACTAGAAGCAGTTATGTCATGTTGCACATTTAAGAAGACACCAAGAAACCTGGAAGATCAAGCCAAAGCTGAACAAACAGGGGAAGAAATAAAAGCAGGGAAGAAATAAAAATAATCACATCATTGTTGCACTATGCATGCCATGTGTAGAAAGCATAAAACAAGCGAGGTCCCAACTAAAGAAGAACGGCAACTTAAACTGATGGAATATGTGCAGTCTGCGGATTTCACATATATAAAAAGAGAACAATAACATACATTTAAAGATTGGAAAATGTTTATTGAATATATGGAGGGAAATTGTGTACACTTGAAAACGTTGGCAGCATTAAGATCAAACCAAAAGTGTAAACAAGTTTTGACAGATGTAAAGATGGAATACTGAATGGTTTAGTTTATGTAAAATATGCAGGGATTTATGATATACTAAATGAACCATGGAAAGGGAAGTCACTGACATTTTAAGGTTGTTTAATTGGATATTCTAAATTGTAAAGCAGAAAATGTAATAAAAAATTATATATAGAAAGCATACAACATTTCAGTAAGTAAAACAATACATCCATTGTCAACTGTATAAAGCACAATTAAAATGAGAATAAAACAGACAATAGCTGGAGATTCAGGCTAAGAGGGTTGTGACCATAACTGTCTCAGTAACATAATGATTTCTGAGGCTTACTGCTCCCATGTGAACCACAGTATGCACTGCAAATGGGTACCAAACACTAATGTGGTGGAGCCAGTGTGGTGTAGTGGTTAAGAGCGGTGGACTCGTAATCCGGTGAACCGGGTTCGATTCCCCACTCCTCCACATGCAGCTGCTGGGTGACCTTGGGCTAGTCACACTTCTCTGAAGTCTCTCAGCCTCACTCAGCTCACAGAGTGTTTGTTGTGGGGGAGGAAGGGAAAGGAGATTGTTAGCCGCTTTGAGACTCCTTCGGGTAGTAATAAAGTGGGATATCAAATCCAAACTACTACGATTCTTCTTCTTCTTCTTCTTCTTCTTCTTCTTCTTCTAATGAATGTGTCTCTTTTTTCATGAACCTCTGCGTGTGCAACCAGGCAGCTTGCTCCGCTCCTGTGGGAGGTTCGCCCCATCCCTATGGATGGTTCACCCGCCTCCCCGGCACTCTGCGCCAGGTGCCAAAGAGACTTCCTCTGCCACTGGCCCAAACCCCAAGCATTTGTTCCCAGTCTTCAGAATAATAATGTAGAATGGATTGTTTAGTTCCTTTAGTTTGAACTGAGCAATGCCCTGTAGTGTTTCACTTTCATAAAGTTTTTCAGGTTCAGTGGAGACCACTCTACATTTTCATTCCCTCTTATAAAATGGAATGGCTTGCTTAAGCAGGCAGGCATCACAATAATGATGAAAGTCTGGGGATCCCCAAACCCCCATTATCCCCAACCCTTCATCTGTTATTTCCATTAATGAAAGCAGTCTAAGGTTTTCGCCATTTATGAAGAACATCCTTCTCAAACTAGACAGGTAAAACCTGAAAAAGAAAGAGGAGCTTAGGTAGAAGCGCCACCTTCACTGCGGCTATTCTACGCTGCTAGGTAAGATTCAGCTCACACTGGCGATGTAAATCCTTCCTAAGCTGCCCCATTAAAGGATCAAAGTTAGGCTTTTTGAGTTGTCTCAGTTCATTTGTGATAATGACTCCCAGGTACTTGAAACAACCTGGGCAGGTTTCCATTTTGAACGTTCTGCTTAGGTAATTTTGCTCTTGCAGAGTAACATTTAAGCATAACATAGAGGATTTCGAAAAGTTCACCTTCAACCCTGATGCATTTTAAAAGTCCAGTAATATCTCTTTTAGTGAGTGCCAGAATTTGACAACATTCTTAACTCCCATCATTCTCAACTAGCATAGCCTATGACTAGGAATGATGAAAGCTTTAATCCAACAACATCTGAAAGGCCACAGGTTCTTTTCTTTTTAAAAATTTGTTTAATCATTTTTTGGATACAAACATCAACCGCAAAAGACACATACAACAAAAACCATAATAATAATAACACAATTTGTCAATTCAGATTTGCATACACTGAACTGAATTGAATTGAATACAACTACACCTTTTTAAACAATATTTTTCCACCTCTTTCTCCTCCCCCTGCTTCCCACCACTATCCGCCTTATCGCTTAAATATTCGTTCCAGATTTCTTCATATTTATCCATTCTTATTTTGCGTCGCCATGCAATTCGTTCATTTGTAGCTTATCTGTCCATATTATCAATCCATGTGCTCATTCCTGACCTATGACGACATTGGAGTCAACCTTCCTTCTGTAAGTTCAGCAAGGAATCTGCCCTGGAGAAACACTGAGCTTTTGCATAATGGAGTCCTTGCTTCATTTGCTTTCAGTTTGCCCAGAGAAGGGTCAGGGTGCGATTTGCTGACCTTCCTGGTATTTCCATACTGATGGAAATATGAATGTCTGAGACACGCCGCAGAATTGATGCTTGTGAATTGACAGGAGGGACACACACACACACACACACACACACACACACACACAGCAACCCATCGTGTGCCACTTATATTTCTGAATACATAAAAACTGGGGCAGAAACTATGATCTGATCTCTGACCAGAGGAATAAAAACATTCTCCGCCGCTGCAGATGGTTCTCAAGCATCATGCTGGGCTCCCCTTTGGCTATGCAAACTTTCGTGACTATGGGAGGGAAAGGGAAGAGGCATGGCATTATAATAAAACCCACAGCCCCAACCTACCATTTAGGCATAGGCAACACAGAACTCTTTTCACATGCGACGATTATTCCTGAAAGGTTGCAGCCAGTTTCTCTTTCTGGCAGCTGCAATTTTAGGAAATCATAAACGCTGGAGATGGAACACAGTTAGATCATCTATGCAAAATTAGCTTCCAAGGATGGTCTGTGTGTGCATATTCCAGCCCAGCGTTGGCAAACGAACTGGGCCTCT